GGGGGGGGGGGCTACAAGGCGTCTCCTAGCAACAACAGCCACCCAGGCCAGGCAAAGGGTCCTTGCAAAGGAGGCGGCCCAGGGAGGACCCGGCAGAGCAGCCAAACCAGCCACCCAGCAGCAGGAGAGGGGCTGCCCAACCGAGGCTGGCCCTGAGCGGAAGAGCGGGGAGCCCCCCCCCCAAAAGCAGCAGATCCAGGCTGGGGGAGGACTCGCACAGGCTCCTTCCAGAGAGGGAGATGGACCCCCCCTCTGCACTGCTCACTGCTGGCCAGGACAACGGAGCCCCCGCTGCACCCAGGTGAGCCGTCCCGTACCTGCCTACTCAGCGCGGGGCCCGGCCAACCCTGAGCCTCTGGGAGCTCCCAATGCTGACAAGAGCAGAAGCCAAAGGAACGGGAAAGAGCAGCCGGCCGTTCTGACACCCAACTCGGATATAAAGTACCCTAAAAGAGGGGCCCCCTCCCCCTCAACCCAAAGCCTAGGGGAAGACACGGCCTCTGGGGAGATGGTCAGAGGGGACCCCGCTGAGTCCAGGGGAGCAGGGGGGGGGAGGTCCTCCAGAGGGGCAGCAACACCTTGAGGGAGCCAGTCCAGGCCATCCGAACCTCTTGGGCGCCCTTCTCCCTGCAACCAGCAGGAGGCGCTTCTCTCCAGGGAACCCAGAGCATCAAGGTGAGCCAACACCCCCCCCCCCCAGAGCCCACTGGGTCTTTGGAGAAGACCCCACCTCACCCCCCATCCATAAGTGCCCAAAGCGGACTGGTCCCACATGAGCTTCCTCTGCCTGGCCAGGTGCCCCCTTCCCTTCCCCACAGGTCCCCTCCAGAAGTGCTTCCACCTCCAGAGCACAACTGGCTCCCCTCCTGGGAGGGCTGGAAGGCCTGGCCAGCCAAGCGAGGCCTCTCTGGGCCCCAGGTCCCAAGAGAAGAAGCGGCCTGGAGACCAGGCGTTTCCCGGCCCAACTGGCCGAGTCCCAGCCTGTCCTGGGCCCCCAGCCTCCCCTTCATTCAGCTCAGTCAATCTAAGGGAACCCTCCCCCACTCCTGGCACCCTCCCGGACTCTGCCCTGGTCCCAGCCGTCCTGGGCCTCTGGCCATTGGGGTCATTCATGCCACCAAGCATGGCTGGGCCACGCAGGGCAACCCTCCGAACCAGGGGCTTCGGCAGACCCCATCCCGGAACACAGCAAGTCCTGCCCAGGGTGCCTGTTCAAAGGGGTCTCTGGCTGGCTGGGCACAGCGGGCAATTTGCCGGCCGCTGGTTGCAAGCCAAGGCTTCTTCCCCTCTGCCAAGGCGTTAAGCAGCTGCAGATCCCTCTTGTTAACTCTGCACGTGGACAGAGGACCAGGCGGCAGCTGGCAAAGGGCCAGAGGGGCACAGGGTTACATGCAACAGTAAGTGGAAACTGACACCTGTCCCAGCCTGAGCCCAAACGGAAAAACAACTCTCTCGGAATCCAGCCCCTTCTTGGGCGGGTGGGGGGCACAGAGGGAGCCCGGTTTCCTGGCAGGTGGGAGCCCGAGGGCTCTTTGCCACTTGGTGGCCCCCAACCCAGGCCAGGGGAAGGAGGCTGAAGGAATTTGCCCCCAGCCCCTCTAACATGACCTGCCCGGGAGGAGCAGGAGAGCAGTGGGGCACCACAGCCAGAGACGCTGCCGGCCATCCCAGAGGCTGGCAGAGTCCGCAGCCCTGCCCGGTCCTCGCCCAGAACAAGGAAGGCCTCCCTCGCCAGAGGCGAATGGCACCGCCGAAGATGACGCCTTCCCGGCCTCCGCCTGGGCCAGAGCCGGTCCCGCCGGCGGCTCTTGACCTGCAGGGCCAGCTGGGCTCCAGCCAAGGCTGCCGGCCGCGGGGTCCTTCGGGGGCCGTGCGGGAGCCCCGCCGCCAGCGCCAGCCCAGGCCGCAGGGAGCCGCCCGTAGCCCGGAGGAACCTCCGGCGGCCCAGAGCGGGCCCGGGCCGAGTACAGGAAGCCGCCGGACTTTGGCGGTTCCCCCGCAGCTCCTTCGCGAGCCCGCCCGGCCCCGGAGCCTCCCGGCAGGCAACGCAGCCGCGCCTCCCTCTCGCCCACGGGGACTCCGAGGCGGCAGAGCTGCAGCGGGGGAGCGGAGCCCTTCCCCGCCCGTCCCGGCGGCTGCCCCCCCGCCGACCCCAGCCCCGCGCTGCCTCGGCCGGCCGGGAGGGAGGAGGCGGGCGGAGGCGCGGCCGGCCCGGGCGGGGGCTCACCTTGAAGACCTCGGAGAAGAAGCCGGCGCCGATCTTCTCGCAGTAGAAGTCGTCGAGGCGCGCCAGAGTGGAGACGGCGCTGCGCAGCGCCCGGTAGGAGGAAGGCCGCAGCCGGCCGCCCGCCTGCCAGCCCCCCGGGCCCGGCGCCTCCCCCTCGGCCTCGTCCAGCCGCAGGGAGAGCCCGGGCCGCCGCGGCAGCTTCTCCCGCTCCATGCCCGGAGCGCCCCAAGGCCATGCGCGGGGCCGGGCGGGGGCCGCGGGAGGGCAGCCTGCGCCCCCGGACGCCGCGGGCTTCGGCCTCCGGAGAGCTCGGCTGCTCTGCGGCCCGTCGGAGGCGGAGCCGCGGCGGGCGGAGCGACTCTTAACTCCTCGGCTGCCGCGGCTGGAGCAGAGCGCGGCGGCGCCTGACAGCGCCCGGCGTCCCGGGGGCGGTCGGGAGGCGCGGCCCGGCTCAGCCTGCGCCCGCCCGGCCCCGCTCCGCGGTCCGAGGCCCAAGGAGGCTGCAGCCGGCGCTAACCCGGGAGGTGGAGGACCTGGGGCCGCGCGCCCTCCAGATGTTGGGCCTCGGGAGCGGAGCCCAGCGCATCTGGAGAGCCGCCCGATCCGCGGAGGAGGCGGGAAAGAGCTGAGTAAGGCCCCAGCCCCTTCGGCAAGTCTCCGCGTTTTCCGCCCACCCCGTCCATAAGGACCGCAACAGCTGCCAGGCTGCCCCCCCCCCCCCGTTAATGGAAGCGGCCGGGGAGGCTGCTGTTTTCCCCCAGATGCAAACCTTCCGCCGGGGCGACTCCAGGAGTGGAGCAGGTGTGTTTGTTCACCTGTGGAACTGCCTCTCCAGGTGTGCTGATAGGGAAATGGTGGCGGTTCCATGCTGGAGGGCCAAAGGTCTCGGGTGATGGAGTGGGAGCAAGGGGGCTCTTGCCCTCATTTTTGGGTCTCTATTGCGTACTATTTTTTCATTGAACTGCTTGGCCAGAGCTCTGAGGTGAAGGTTTCCCAACACCAGGAACAAAGCCAATCAGTCCAGCATAAGCCATACTGGCTCGTTTCTGAGTGGTTGAGTAGAATGGAGCCACCCTAAATTGGGACCTCCAGGTACCAATCTCTGCAGGTGGTCCTGGCCGAGGGACTCAGAAAATCCCAGAGAAGCTCATCCCCCAGAGGGACCTTCCAGCCCTGGGCTCTTCTCTGAGGAGAGATGCAGATTTCAACCTCCGGGAGTGAAGTTCACGCCTCAGGTGGATGTCACACACACACGCACGCACCGGGTTGTTTCAACAGGCTCAGACCAATCCCAGGAGAGGTTACATGGCCTCAGTCAGCAGGGTGGCCAGGGGGTGCCTGTCTTCAAAGGCCCCGAGGAGAGCAAAGTTAGCCCCCTTTCTGCGGTTTGAGGCAGCAGAGGCGCCCCAGAAGCATTTACTTGTCCAGGCTGTTGGTGCCTCGACTTGCACTGTGTTTACCTGGGAGCAGATGCGAATGCTGGGCATGATCCTTGCCATGGACAGATTGCTGGTGCAGAGCCAGGCCAATTAAGTGGAGCCACCAGCTCTGCGGAGAGGAGAGTGATGTGCCCAAGTGGTGCCCAGGGAGTTTCCCAGCAGCCCGGGAGGACAGCTTGGATGAAGCCCCCCCCCCCCAACCTCTGGAATACAGAGTCGGGCAGGGTTGCTCTGAGTGGCCAGTCCTCCCCGGCCCGTCCCAGGCCGCCCCTGCTCTGCTGAGTACCTCCAGGACATGAAGCGGGCGATGAAACACTTACGCTGGCAGATGACCACGCGTGGCCTGCTCAAACTGGCCCAAGAAAGCATGCGCCCACGGAACCTCCGCTCTGCCCCGTGGCACCAACAGTGGTGAAGTTGCCCTTATTGCAGCTGCCGAAGGTCCTTGGAAGGGGTAGAGCAGACGATCTTGCGAGAGCACAATTATGGCCCTCTGGCTGACCAGGAGGAGGCCCGCCAGGAAATGCCTCCGAGTGGAGCCCAGGAAGGCCGAATCCAGGGGAGGACGGAGAGGTCACCAGGCGGGGGAGGCTCCCTGGCATCCCAACCCCAGGAACTGTTTTATCTGGTGCTGGAGGGGGCCGCTTGCATCCTGGCCATCTCATTACTAGATCTTTTTTTTTTATATATGTATATATATATTATTTTTATCACAACAACAAAAAACAAACATAAAACCTTTCTGTTCCACAGTGTGTCAGTTGGGTACGTATTTCTTCATGCACAAAATAATATTATCATACTATCATATTTAACTTGTACATATTTATAGTCATTCTTATTAATATTTTATATCACATATATCACTTACTCTATTATCCTTGGTTTTATAATGATTAACTTTCAATAATATATTTCAAGTTCATTTTCTTGCTCTATCTAACTCATCTATTTATCAGTAACAATATATTATAATATGCTTATATAATTTAATTCTTTACTCTTCTATCCAATTATTCATAAAATTAATTCCAAATTTTATAATAGTCTTTTTCTTCTTCTCTAATTGCCGTTGTCAATCTACTCATTTCTGCACAATCAATTATTTTCTTAATTATTTCCTCTTCCGTCAGAATTTTTTCATTTCTCCAATTTTGTGCAAATACAATCCTAGCTGCTGTTAATATATTAATAATCAAATACGTTAACTCTTTGTTATAACCATCAGGCAGAATTTCCAATAAAAATGTCTGGTTTTAAATCTATAGGTTGTTTTATCATCTTCTCCAGCCACATCTGTATTTTAGTCCAATACTTTTTAGTCTCTATGCATGTCCACCACATGTGGTAATAGGATCCTGGTAGCTTCTGACATTTCCAGCACTTCGCCGACTTATCGTCAAACATCTTAGCAATTGTCATTGGGGAAAGATGCCATCTTATACAAATTCTCTTTATAGGCCGTTGACATAGTTAATTTATAATTTCTAGACCATAACATTTGCCATTTATCAAGATCTATTAAATATCCAAAATTTCCCCCCCACACAATCGTTGTTTCTTTTACTTGTTCATCCTCTAATTTCACTCCTAGTAAATAACCATATAGTTTTTTAATCAACTTCTCATCAGTGCCTGTTAGGATTTTATCCAATTCATTCAATTCCTTATAAAACCCAGTCATCTTAATGTCTCCCATACCTTGTGTGTATTTGCAAATACGAATACCTATTTATATTTATCCCTTGTAAGTCAAATTCCTGCTTTGTTTTGAGTTCACCCTTTTCATTTAAAATTTCATCATATCTAATTATGTGTTCTTTTTTAAATAGTTGTGGATATGTAAAAGCTTCTAAAGTTGATAACCAGATTGGTATTTTCAAATATTGATAGTCTCTTATTTTTTCCCATACTGTTAATAAAGCATCTCTAATGTAATGTCTCCTAAAGTATCCATGTGCCTTACTTTCTTTATGCCATAAAAATGCATGCCAACCCAATTGTAAATCATGCCCTTCTAACGTTAGTAATCTGGCATTTTTCAATACAATCCATTCCTTCATCCACATCAATATTGTTGCCTGATAATATAATTCCCAATAGGGTAATCCAAAACCCCCTCTCAACTTTGCATCCTGTAACAATTTTAATTCTTGCCTTTTCCCCCTGTCAAATAAATTTCATCATCATTTTATTTAAGTCTTCAAAATATTTTTTTTTCACTCTTATTGGAATCGTTTGAAATAGATACAGTATTTTTGGCAGTATGTTTATTTTAATTGCTGCTATTCTACCTATTAAAGATAGTTGTAGATTTTTCCATTTTTCTAGATCTACTGCAATCTGTTGTAATAATCTGTCGTAATCTGTCGTTACTAGACCTTTAGGAGTCACTCTACTGGGGGCTGCCCTTGAAATGCACCCGGAAATTTTGGCTGATGCCAGAAGACAGGAAGCAGCCTTGGACCAGGCCCTCTGGGGGCTGCCCTGGTCACCAGGGGCGATCCAAGGTGGACCCTTGGCGCGATCCAAGGTGCTGGTCGAGGAGGCCCTGGATGCCTTCCAGATCCAGACTGCCTTTGCCAGCGAGACCCGGCTGATCCCTCCTTCCATGTCACGCCCCCCCCCCCCCCGTAGCTGCCCTCCTTTCTTGAAGCCTCCCAAAACCTTGCCCTCTGGGTTGCAACCACGGCCAATTCCCTCGTCCTTCCTATGCCCAACTTACCAGCCGTTCTCCACGTTCAACTTCGCTCCCGTGTCCCCTGCAACACCTTCTCACCCCCCCTCCCTTCAGAGCCCCCTCCTCCTCCTTGTTGTTTCTGGCGGTTTAGCATTTTTTTAAAAACATAATCCAGATTCTCAACTGACAACACAGCATCATCTGCGTTCAGGATGAATCGCTAAACAAAACAAAATACCAAAGGATTCATGAGCTCCCCCCCCCCCCCCCCCGCACAGGGCTTTTTTATGCCAATCGAGGCTCAGTTATTCGTAGTAAGGTTACAAACGGAATAACCTTCCAGAGTTGGAAGGGACCTTGGAGGTCTTCTAATCCAGCCCCTTGCTCGAGCAAGAGACCCCAGACCATCTCAGACAAGTGGCTGTCTGGTCTCTTCTTGAAAGCCTCCAGTGATGGAGCAGCCACCGTGTCTGGTGGCAAGCAGTTCCACTGATGTAATTGTCCTCCCTGTCGGGAAATTCCTCCTCAATTCCTAGGTTGCTTCTCTCCTTGGCGAGTTTGCTTCTTGTCCTGCCTTCGGGGGCTTTGGGGGATGGGTTGCCCCCCTTTCTTTGGGGCAGAGTAAGAAGGTCGAGGTTACCGCCTAGGTCACCCCTGGGCCACATACTGCAGGCCCAGGAGGGGACGTTCCACTCCGTTTTAGCAAGCGTCACAAGTGCAGCCAAGGCAGAATTTCATCAAGTCCAGGTAGTCCTCGCCTTACAACCTGTTGCTTAGTGGCCGTTTGAAGTTTCAGTAGACCTTTCCGGGGGACGCTTATTGACCTGGATTCGGTGTGGTGGCCACCTCCTCCCCCCTGCAATCTCGTGGCCACATTTGGGCTGCTCAGCAACCAGGCTGCAAAGTCCCCTGCAATCAGACAAGCGGGCATCTAGGCCGGACTTGCCAGGGGGCAGCGCTTCCTCCTGGTTTGCAGCCACAGCCACAGGGACCCACCGCATCGAGGGATTTGCTCATCAGCTGCCCCCCAAAAGGACCTACAACCACCTTGGCCACATGACTGACCTGCTTAATGCCCTCATTAAGGCTCCACAGGTAAG